AAACTCAGATTTACAAAAATAATATAACTATAGACTGTCTCTCAAGCATAGGAAATGTTGCACAATATGTTTTCAAAAACAATCCTAGCTATACAGAAATAAAAACTTGCGTCGTATGTTCTAACATTATCATGCGTCAATCTGTATTGATTCCCATTAACGTAGACATTATTATAAAGCACGGATATGGGGAGCTATCTACGGCTATATTAGAAGGTATCCCAAATAATATATCCATCTGCTGTAAGCAACGTAGAAACAGAAAAATAAACTATGGACAACAAATTTTTATAGAATGTGACGCAATAGAACATAATAAAGAAAAAGAACATTCTCTTGCAGAATTTCCGCAAAAACTACAGGTTGGCGATAATTCTTTTCTTTTAGCGGGCACGGTAGCACGATACGGTGATACCGAGAACGGCCATTATGTAGGGTATTCCTACCAAGAATCTCAATGGATAGAATTTAATGATTTAATTAAACATTCAAAAACAAAACCAAAAACTTACAAAATAAAACCGCATTTAATAATTTATATCGCATGCGAAACAAATTTTTCCTAAATATATTATTACTATTACTTTGATACTAAAAAAAACTCAGATCTGCTGCTAATCTATTATACTATTAAAACTACAAAAAAAATATAAAACTTTAAAATCCACAAAAAATTAAAAAAATAAAAAAATAAACATAAAAAAAAATCACAAAGGAACCAGAATACCGCTACGTCCACGTCGTTGGTTCCGGGTAACGCAGAAAGCGATATATCTTTTTCTCATACATTCACGTTAAATTATAATATATGACTTTTTATATAATCATACGTAAGTACAGTTCGGAACAATAACAACTGCTTAACATTGACTAAACACAAATTCACGGCCAATATTTCATTATTGGAAAAAATAAATGTGCGTTTGTATAGCACACTACAGCACACATAAGATTCTTTTTGCTCTCGCAATTTTTACAAACTTTTTACTATCTTCCCAATTCTTAATACTTTTATTTCTTATCTCCTGCTAATTTCGCGATAATAAGAATCGGCACACATTGCAGGATTGTATGTTACGGGTTACAAATTACGAGAATATGTAAAATTTGGTATTCCTAAACTCTATGTTTCTAATTTCTAACGCACATCGCAAATTAACGATCTGACGACAATTTGTCACTAAGAAAAGTTGTTGCATCTGTCCAGCACAACCTGGCACAAGTAACACCAATACAAAAATATTACATCGTTTTTACTCTCAGGTTTGTTTTAGTGTTTTAGTAGCTTTTTAAAATCAAAGCTATTCAAAACTTTACGATTATTTACAGGTGTTAGGCAGTTTATCTTTTGTAAAAAAAAGTCAGTAAACACCAAAAGTTATAAAATAGTAAGAAATGCTATACAAAATGATAAATTATTCTGATATGTGATGCTGATGGAAGATTTATGTAGCATTAATTTTTTTATCTTTACCAGTGTTTTCACCTCATTGGAATAATATAACAAAAAGTGCTTAACGGCACAACATGGCACAAGTTTGTACTAATTTGTTAAAAAAAAATAAGCTCGATTGCGACAAAGTGCGGGGCTAAGATAAAGTTTGTTTTTTATTATTTTCTCGAATATGGCTTAATATATTAAGCTGTGTTTTGCGGCACAATGTAGCACAACTCTAGCACAATACAGCACAATCAAGAAAACTTCAAAATTCTAAAAGTGCGGGGCTACCTAAAATTTCGTTTTTTGTAATTTTCTGAAAAATTGTTTAAAGTATTGAGCTGCGGTTTGCGGCACAATTCAGCACAAACCTAGCACAATATGGCACAATAATAAAAAATACCAAATTCAAAAAGTGCGGGGCCAACTTCACACACATCGTGCGCTCACGTATTGAAATAGGATAAGTTATGTTAGGTTAGGTGAATAATTTGTTGAATACGTTTATAGAATTGGAGTATATACATTTTTTATTACTAGATATATTTTTATAACTTAATATATATTTTTATAATCACATATATATATATATATTTTGTTGTAACTTATATATATAGTTTTTTAATTGCATATATATTTTTATAACTTATAATATATAATTTTTATAATCACAAATCAAATGTTTTCAATCACATTTTTCATTCAGAAGAAAATTTAATAAGTATAGTAATATTTAATAAGTTTAGTAATTAGTTGTATGTTCAACTATTTTCATACGTTAAGAATAAAATCAATTAGTTGGATGTGATAAAATATATCTGGAAATGTCGACACGTTAAAGATTGATAAAAAAGAAATTAAGTGCTCTGAAGCTAATACAACATTTTTCGGTGAAAAAAATAAAATTTCTATGTTTTACATATATGTTTTACTAAGTAAAAATAAATAAGATAATTTTAGTAAATGCTTCTACTGTAACATATATGTATTTCATATTGAAACGCAATTTGCTACCGCTTTTTTTATGTAATGATTTTTATCAAAAGATAATTAGTTCAAATACATAACAATCACTATGATCATACAAACTTAATTTTAGCATCAAAAAATCCTTGGAGAGCGGAATGTTACAGAAGGGAATCATTATTTCTCTTCTGTATCTTGATCTTTTCTTCTTTTCTTTTCTTCTTCTCGATAGATGCGTTCCCGGGCATGTGCCAACCATATTTTAATTCTATAAGACATCTGTTCATTTTTCGCAGATTCATGTGCGTTTCTTAAAACTTCTGCAAAAACAAATATTCAAATTATTTAAATTTTCAAATTACTTATCGAAGAAAACAATATTTTTATTTTTTGTCATAAGTTTGATACATAATGTGATTTAAATTAAGAAGTAATAATTAATTTTAATTAATTTTCAATACGTCTCAAACAAAGCTTTATACAATAAAGCCACTAGTTTAAGAATAGACAACTTCATAATTAAAATTATAAAAAAACATTATAGGCATGTAAAAGAAATCAAACAAAATTCATTAATGTTTGGATCATTTTACTCCAATTCCATGTATTAAAAAAAAGAGTTAAAATCAGTCTACATCCCTCCAGAAGCTTTTTATTATTTAGACGCTATGAATTATACAAGAAAAAACACCAATTATGTATCACTATGCTAGACATAACAATTATAAGAAATTACCGGATAGTAATAAGCCAAACAAAAAATACAAATGGCCATTTCAAAAAGAGATAAAGCTAAAAAAAGTAAAAGTAATCTTCACAAGCAGTGGCGTGACAGTTAGAAAAAAAAATTTTATAAATTATTGCAAATAAAAATTTATAAATTATTATCCATCCTCAGTTTTAATACTGAATCTTATTTGTAATCTTTCCATCTTGTAAACATAAGTAATTTAACATTTAAGCCAAAGTTAGAGTCTCCCACACAGAACAAAAACTCCATTAGACGTCTATTAGACGTCAACAGCTCCATGCAATATCTAATAGATGTCCAATAGATGTCTGGATGGATGAATGTCTGTGTGGGCTAAGACATCTATGTTATTTTATTATTCTATTTTTTGTTTTGTTTTGTTTCTTTTCTTTTATTTATAAACTCTTATTATAAGTTCTCCACAAATTTCTTTTTTCAACAATCACTTTTTTTTATTTAGACCTTTTTATATATTTTATTATATATTTTATATATTTAAATATACTTATATATTTTTTCTTTTCCTTTATTTAAAAATGAAAAGTTCTTCTAAGACAATGACCGTAGTAACGAGTGTTCACATAGAACATTATAATGATAATAAACATTATTAAACAGAGAGTATATATCTCACCTCGTCAATAATTTGCTGAAAATGCACAGAAACAGCTTCTGATATTTGAATCCTTGGAATTGTGTATTAAAATTGATATCTTTTTGGATCTGATCTTGGTGGCTCGACCGATTACAAACAGCATTGAGTCTATCACATTGCTTTTGCCACNTCCATTAGGACCTACTATCGATGAGAAACTCTGAAAAAAAAGAGATAGTACCGACTCAATATGTCAGAAAAACAATGTAATGTTTTGTTTATTGAACATAATATATGTAACACACTTCCCTTGTCAATAATTTGCTGAAAATGCACAGGAACAGTACAGCTTGATATTTGAATCCTTCTTGGAATTGTGTATTAAAACTGATATCTTTTTGAATCTGATCTTGGTGGCTGACCGATTACAAACAGCATTGAGTCTATCACATTGCTTTTGCCACCTCCATTAGGACCGACTATTGACAAACTTTGAGAAAAAAAGAGATAGTACCGATTCAATACATGTCAGAAAAACAATGTAATGTTTTGTTTATTGAACATAATATATGTAACAATATATACTCTTTTATATAGCTCGAAAGACAGAATATCTTTGCCACGCGATTTGTAACCACGAATATAACCTCAAACTCGTAATTACAAAGTTTGCGAAAAGTATTAGTAAATATTGAAAAATATTACTNAATTAATATTTACAAATTATTTCGCTAACGTTATTTTATAATGTATAAAATATTAAGTAAAGAAGTAAAAGGATTACCTTTGATATCTCAAGTCGATTTTGGATCCTATCCTATGGCTGCCGGCAGCTACGAGAAAGAGGAAAGAACTTTACATATGCAGATGGCATCTTAGACCATATATACTTATAGACACGACTTCAGACAACTATCTTGAAGCAAAGATAATATCATCTACATGACGTCACATGTGGGCAAAGCAAAGGCGCGTTTATAGACGGCTTCAGATAACTGCCTTAAAGATAAGATAATATCATCTACAAGGCCGCGTTTAGCCATTGCTGAAATGCCCACATGTGACGTCACGTAGATGATATTATCTT